TCTCTCTCTCTCTCTCTCTCTCCAGTATATCCTTGAGTAAAGACAATCCCTCAAAAACCCAGTCTCAAAGCGACGGTGTTATCATTTTAGCTCTACTTGTGTACATGTATATAGAATTTATTAAAAAGGAAATTGTACTTGTTTAACGCCCCTTATAACACTGCAAGTTTCGTTTCTCTGTCTTCCAATGCCGTTGCTTTTGTGTTCACTTGCAATTAAAAAGTAGTAGATGTGTAGATGTGTATCGCTCTTTAGAGTATGTATCTATATAACTTCAAAGGTCTTGTAATTAAATCCCTGCATGTGGTTGAATAATGCATCTGATGTGATATGTACATTTTGTCAGCTTTACTTCTCTTTTCATATTGAATTTGTATGAGAGTAATATATTATTTAAATTTGTATGCATACCTGCATGTGGTTTTACGGTCCTGTAAAGCCAAGAAAAATTTCCCTCTGGGATAATAAAGTATTATTTTATCTTATCTTATCTTATAAGTCGTTTATAGAAGATACACCTATCCCTGTCGAGGTGCAGTTTTGGTCAAGCTGTAATAGCCACTCAATAGTTCAATTGTTGGAAGTGGTGGGCAGGTGCACTGCTGTTGTCTACTCCTTTTTTTCCCCATCGAATGTTGATTTCATCCTTATGTTAATGTTCTTTCTTTCGTTTTCACTTTCTTTTCTTTTATATGTTACTATCAAGTACTTACTTACTTTTGCTTTACTGTTTCATCCTCTGTTGCCGTTAAGCGTTTTGAGAAGATGCAGTTTTCTATGGTAGGCCAACTCCGAAGCTCTTCTAGTTGTGATATTGTGTTTTCTCAGGGTTTCTTCTTTCAAGTAACACCTCTAATTTTTGGCATTTATACGACCGACATTTGTTGCAAGTGCCGTACAATTCTTCTTAAAAGTAAACCTCCTCCATGTCTCGTCCTCAGGATCGCCTCTCCTTTGACCGTATCGAGCTGGCGGACATCATAAACGAGGCAAAGGGCGGCTGGCGGAGAGACGGCGACAGCTTCACGCTAGAGCTCAACAAGGTCATGAGCAAAGAACATCTCATGGAGAGCAAAGTGACAACCTGGTACCACACAAGACCGGCTCTGACCGACGTCCTGAACACAGTGGTCACGCCCCGTGACGTAGCCATCCAGCGATCTCAGTCCGACGGTCACTTACACTCGGCGCCGTACAGGCTAGGCGTCCACGCCAAGCACCGGAGAGGAGACAAAAAGAATAATGCCAGAGCTACGTCTCTGGACTCGTCGAAACGACCTAAGTCGTGGGCGAAACACGGGGAGCCTGTCTCCCCCGGGATAACCAGTATCCCCGAAGACGTTTTTGAGGAGGAGAACGAGGTCAGCGGCCGGGGGAGGGGTGGGCAGGAGGTGAAATTCGTCATCGGAGGTTTCGGGGGCAGCCACGAGACGGAAGACGCCGACCACCACGGTGGTAGCTCAACTAACGTATCTAGTAACGGCCATGTTGGCCCTGGAGGGCAAGGTGAAGGTCACACCAACGCCACGCATAATAACTTCCGTCTTTCCAGCGATTCATCAGCACATTCAGAAACAACCAACAGCCCGCCTCCGAATTTCACGCTGTTCGTCGAAGCCCCGGAAGAAGATCAAAACGTTGACGGTAGTCATGACAACCAAGCGTTCGAAGATGACGTCGATAAAACAATTACTCTAGAGATTGTGAACCCTGAAACCAAGAGTAAAGGTTCAGGTGCAAAGACAAAACACAAACCGGAACCTCTTGTTCTCTTAAATCAGCTCAAGCTTAACAAGAGCAAGAACAAATTGTCACCTACAACAAAAACTGCTAATGGTGGCTTCGGTGATCCGGACAGAGACCTTAAACGATCGCCGTTGCATTCTCTGAAATTTGGTAAATCGAAGACCAAACACAAAAGTTCCTCTGACCTCAAAGGTCTGAAGAGAGAGCGTCATAAAGGGTCCTTACCCTTAAGCAGATCACATGTAGATTTTTCTCAGCACAACGCCAACAACAGCAACTACCACGACTACGACAACGACAGCGACGGTTTCGTTGACGATGATGAAGTCCAGGATGAAAACGATAACGGTTACTATGGCAACATTATGGTTTACAGTCCGAAAAAGAAGAAATGTCCTGTGCCCAAAATGGAGAGTGAAGACGTTAACTGCATTTATTAAGTAGTATAACAACTTTGTGTCTTCTGGTGACTTTCTTTTTTGAAAAAAGGGTGTGGGTGAGGGGGGGGGGGG